TTGTTTTACTTTTACCAATTATTGGAACGGTAATAACATCATCTTCAGTAACAAATTTAGTTTCATACTTATAATCTCGTTTTTCTTCCGGCGTAAATTTGATGTTATAAACTTGGGCTAATCCTGGGGCTACTGTTACGTTATAAGAGGATCCACGAAATTCGATGTCGAAGAAAGGATCTAATTTGCAGCATAATTTCAAACATCTCGAAACCTTTCAAAAATCCAAATAATTTAATTATTTACTTTACGAATTATTTTCATTGATTTTATACCTGACTGGAATTACGAATTGTGAGTGTAGCGTTGTAAACGTTGCTAGGAAGAAATTGTTGAAATACAATAACAGCAGGTATAGTTTTGAAAGGATTATTTTCTGAGTGATTGAGGACAGTTCGAAGATTTTCATTGATTCCTGGTTTAATTAAATAAGCCATTCTTTCTTCCGTTGTTAATGACATTTGTTTGATATATTCTGATGGAGGTATACTATTCTATATATTCAATAAAATTTAAATATTATTTATTATATTATTATTTTATCTACGAAAAAATATGTTTCTCTAACCTTTTCTTCATCTTTCTTATTTCTTGGTTTCTCTAGCATAGCTGTGAATATTTTTAATATGTCGAACGAATATGGTTTCCAATCCTTTAACTTTCTTTCCATTTCCTCCATTGTGAATAATCAATTTAATTTCAAAATTAGATTCGATTTATTTTTTATTAATTAGGATAACGATTGTATTGGTAATATTATTTTGAGATATTGATTGTCAATATGACTGATAACTCCAACATACTTCTTTTGTTTTGTATTAATACGTGTATGCATGTATTGATAAAAGAAATATAGAAATCGATTACAAAAAGATTATGTTCAAAAGATTTTTATTTATTACATTGAGATGGTATGCAAACATAAAATGGACCACAGGGAGATTTTGAAGTTCTAAAACATGGTGGTACTGGATTACACGTTGGTGTAGGACAACAATTTGTAGGAAAACATGCTGTAGGTTTACATGGAATTGTACAATTTCTTAAAGAACCAGAAGGTCTGAAAAAATTCGATGAACGATTATAATTGTATTTATCATGTGTATCCAGTTTGTAATTCAATTTGTAACTAACTGGCACATTGGAGGGGATGGGATTCCAGGACAAGAAGATGTTAGACAATCAGGTGGACTTGTACAAAATGCTGGTGGACTACACGGTGATGGACAAAGTGGAAGTGACGAGATTGGTGGACAATTAGGGATTGGTGGGAAAAAACAAATTTTTTTTGGATCTGGCTTAAGTTTGATCTCGGCACGAGGAGGTTCCATTGAACATACAGGAACACAACCAGGTAAACATGGAGTTGGTGGACAACATGGCATTTGAGATATACAACAAGGATCACAGCTAACCCCAGTGCAACACATTCCTGGACATGGTCCTCTTGGACAACCCAATGGTGGACACGAAACGTTGCATATTTCTGGTTCAGGCTTTCTGTTCATTGCATTTTATTAGAAACGATATTATTGATGATTTCGAGTATTCTATTTTAGGTATCTTGTGTCACTTACAGACAATCTATTTCATTTATGATAGACAGCATTTCGTCCATGTAATTACGAGTTTTCCCGCAAGCCATTTTAAGTTATATTGATGTCGAATTATTAACAGGAATTTAGATTATTAATTGATTAATTGATGTATATTTTTTTGTATTGTTTACCCATTTGGATTTGACGTATTTCTTAATCAAATTGCATTTGTTTTTTTTTAAGTGAAAACTTCTTTAGAATAGGGAGTGATTTGAAAAAAGTGAAACGCGGCGGCAAGCGGCGATGCAACGGAGCGGTGGGCGGTTAGGCAACCGAGCGGCGGGCGCCACAATATTTAGTAAGAAGAGAAAAAGAGATAAACATATAGGATTGAGCCTGTGAGAGAATGAGACAGAATATAGCTATATAGTTTTTCCTATTCTCGGTCTCCTCTTTATGCTCTGTTTCGTAGTTATCGCTACTGGTTGTATATGTGTGTGTTTGTGTGCGACTGCATACTACGAAGTGTAGACACATATACAATAATTTCGATACTATACCTGTTTGTAGGTAGGAGCGATAGAAGGGTAGAAGAATAAACAGAGATAAGCACGTAGGTATTTGACAAAAGAATAGGGTAAAAACGAACCGACGGTCGAAATAAAAAAAATATCATGTGGGCAGATCACACGTGTTAGAAGTGAAACCTTCGAAAAACTAAGTTTCGAGAGAAAGAGACGACTGCAGAATATCAGGAGTAGGATAATTGTTGGGTTTATTTGTAATAATATTATTATTATATTATTGTTATCACATTCAAAAATTATTATACGTTTTATTGAAAACATTTATAAATAGATAACATATTACACAGCAAGCAAGTTCTCAATTTGAAGAAATGAAACGAGTTGCTTATGGTAACTAAAATATGTATGGTAACTAAACACCTCTCTGCGTGCACGAAATGCACGAACGCGTTTCGTCAAACTTTTTGAAGCTTACCTAATATTTTCTTTCTGCAGATTTTCAAGACACTGTTCGGCGTTACTTTTCGGTCGAGAGACATTTAAATCACAATTCATAATATCCAATTGCGAATCATCTGAATAGAAAATAAAAAATAATGTTACAAAAGTGATCTATTGATATTATGCTTGTCTAGTATGAGTAGAAAGGATTAAGAAAGAAATGTATTGATTGAAAGCTATTTAATGATTTACGATGATCGTTATCACTATTTCTAACAGTGAACGCATTATTACCCGCATTAGAGAGATTATTCTGCACATTTAATAAAACCTTCTGGCGTGCACGAAATGCACAAACACGTTCCGTTGAACTCTGGAATCTTCCATATCGTGTTTTTCTGATAAATTTCACACTTTTTCCTCTAGTTTGCGAATTTTTCATAGTGTAAAACAGATAAATAAAAAATAAAGTCTTCTGGCCTAAGCAACAAGCTATGATAAGGGGAAAATGAGAGAATTTAAAATGAGAAATAAAACATGTGATCCTAACAAATAGATGGTATAATAAAACCTTATTTATTCGTTAAAGAAAAGCTTCCCTTCCTAAGAAACCATAGTTTATACAGGGTGATTTGTAATTGATGGTACAAGCGAAAGAAAGTGATTCTACATGAAAAAATAAATCGAAAATATAGAATAAATATTTTTCGTTTGAGGCTTTGTTTTCGAGAAAATCGACTTTGAATTTTTGCAAAATACGCGTGCAAGTTCGTAGGTCCGTTATAACGAGTCATGATTAAGTGCACGCATAATTTGCGAAAATTATTTTTTATTTATCTGTTTTATAATATGAAAAATTCGCAAACTAGAGAAAAAAGTGTGAAATTAATTAGAAAAACACGATATGGAAGATTCCAGAGTTCAACGGAACGTGTTCGTGCATTTCGTGAACGCAGAGAGGTGCTTAGTTACCATACATATTTTAGTTACCATAAGCAACTCGTCTCATTTCTTCAAATTGAGAGCTTGCTTACTTTGTAATATGTTATGTATTATATGTCAATAAAACGTAAAATAATTTTTGAATGTGGTAACAATATAATAATAATAATAATATTATAACAAATAAACCCTACAATTATCCTACACCTAGTATTCTGCATTTGTCTCATTCTCTGGAATATTAGTTTTTTGAAGGTTTCAGTTCTAACATGTGTGATCTGCACACATGATTTTTTATCGATGTTATTTTTTTTTATATACTTATATATAAATGTTACACAGATTTATCATAACCATAATGAATTTATTATTCGTTGATGTTAGCGGCAAGATTTCTTTTTATTCATTTCAGATTGCGTTTCCTAGATATCTTTTATATTTACATAAAAATAAGAAGACACGTTTAAAGATTGTGTGAAATGTATGAAAAGATGAATGCTTGTTGAAAAATCAACCCCTATTGACTAACACATTTTAAGGGTTCGTAAATACAAGCTACATTTTTTTAGAGGATACCAACAATGATTCACACAAGATGAGTATTTCATCGGGAAGCAGCTATTTGCTGATGAGCACGAAATATTGCAGGAGAATGGACAACTCGGTGAGATACAATAGGAACAGTCGTTGCAACTCTGATGAGCTAGCAGCTTTACGAGTGTGCAAGTAGCCGAAAAGAATAAAAAGACATCTTTCCAAATTACAATCATTAGTTATTTGCTTAATTACTTTAATTATTAGGAAAAGTTTACCTTGATTTATTAAAAGTAATATTGTTGTTTGTGGTTTTGTTACTAATATTTATGATTATTTAATTATATAAACATTTGTTGAAAAATTAAATAACTCGTAATAAATTTCAATTAAAAAATCATTTTATTTCGATATATAATATCGAAAATTGGAAACATTGTCGAGCGATGTTATGAATGAAGGTTAATCTTAAATTTGAAATTACTACGTGATGTTATTTATATTAAACGTTCAATTGACTTTGGTAGTATTGAGACAATGTTCTTTTGAATTCAGACGAGAGTGTATTGAAAATTTTTCCTCCGTATAGGTAAGTTTAAATAGCTTGTATTTTAAATTTATTTAAACAATCTACGATTTGTATGAAGTATAATTAACTTATATTTAAATAATATTACATTCTTATCAATCCATATTTGCAATGATTTGTATTAAGCTATCTACAGTACTATTGTATTTTTTTCAAATTAATTACTCAATTAATCCTTTAGTTAGCCATATAGTAATTGTATTATGTGACGATACTTACGTACGAGCAAATTTATTGAAATTATACTCAAAGCATGTTGTAACAAAATAATTAAGTTTATAGAAATCAATTTTTAAGAATCGTGTATATTTATAACATCGATCAAAAAGTATAAAATGAATATAAACAAATATTTTATATAAATATAAATATGTGTATATAAAAACATAAATCTGAAATAGAAAATAAAAAAAAAATCATTATTTTTATTCAGTGATATATCATGTTTGGTTGTATATATTTATTAGTAGTCGAAAGATTCCCAGGTATCATTGGTTGATTTGGTATATATTCCGATTTCCTGGCAAGGTACGTTACACCCCCAATAGTTTTGGCTTCCCGTATATCCATCGAATTATAGCTTCCATTCAATCTTTGAGTAAGGCCAAATGGTGTGTAAGGTGGTGCCATTTTGTTCTGGATCTGTCTGTTTTCCTTGGAATACGATAAATCTGCAGTGTCGCCTCCAGGACTATCTAGATACGCGATATTTGTTGTATTTGATTTATGTAACGAAGGTACATCGCCTTGTCCGTTGTTTCTAATAAGATTTTGTTTATTCTGATTGAATTGTTGCATCTGTTGATAATAATCCGGATGTAGTGAACCGTCAAACTGATGGGAGGACATTGGTTTATTCAATGCCGATAATGCATTTTTATCATTGTACGGAATTAATTTTTGATAATTTTGTTGTTGTTGTTGGTGATTATTATTAAACTGTTGATCTGGACTAAACATTTGATATTGTTGAGTTGGTGCTACAGTTCCATCTTCTCTTTCAGCCATCAAACTGTAACGATTTCGTGGATTGTTCTGTTTCTGTTTTGGATATTCATTACCAATCGTTCTTATTTCAGATCTCTTTAAATGCGTTAGAGGTTGTGGAAGTGGATTATTAGGATTCCTACTATTTTCTAGACCATTGGCTGAGACACCTTTTCGTAATATTGAATTAGAATTATCGAAGCCTGTTGGTTTTGTTATTAAATCTGGTGTAATATCGTTCGGATCTTGTATACCGTTTAATTTAATTTTTGGTTTCTTTCGATTTAGATTCGCGAGATATTCAAGACCCGCATGACTTTCTGGATTATTTAAGATTTCCAAAGCTTTTTGAATTGTTTCTGGATCTTGCAAACCGTTGTTACGTTTTTGAGGACGGATTACTTCCTTATATAATCTTAGTTTCAATAAACTCGATGGTTCCACATTCCTTATGTTCAAATCGTTCAGACTAATAGCTTTCTTAGAAAGACGAGAATTCTTTTCGTTTTGAGACTGATCATGTTGCCACGCAACTTGTTGTGGTGTTTGATAATATTGTTGTTGATATGGTTGTTGCATTTGTTGAGGATACTGCCAATAAGAATATTGCGATTGATGCATAGGATTGTTAACAAAATGTTGTTGATATTGTTGAGGTGGAACAGACATTGATTTTAATGGATGAGTTTGGGATGAACCATACGCGTACTGTGGTGGTATTCCTGTTCCTGTTGTTGGAAATCCCATTCGTTGTTGCCAATTAACATTTTGTTGTTGCCATAATTGATGTACCTTTTGTTGAGATTGATCATGGATCGATTGTATCATTTCTTGATTATTTCCATTTTGTTGTATTTTAATGTAATCATCTGGATAATTCTCCTTAACTTGATGTTGCTGTGAAATTACATTTTCTTCTTGAATTTTGGTGTTTAATTTTTCTAAATCACTGTAAGGAATATGTGGTGGAGTTATGTGAGCCATCCATTCAGGTTTCTCATCCATTTGTATCTTCTTTCGTGTTTCCTGCTTTCTCGTATCAGGAGATTCACCTTCTTGATGAAATTGTTCAAGATATTCGAGTTGTCTTCGTTGTTCTTTTAACAAATGATCAAATTGTCTTCGCATTAATTCATCGGATATTCCTTGTTGTTTCATAGTTGCAACTAAAAGTTCTTGATCACGAATCATTTTTGGTGTAAATTTCAAATTTCTTTTCTCAAGATTTGTAGGCACTTCAGTTGTGATTATTTGTTGAGGAACATCATTTTGAGGTATCATATTTTGTTGATAATAATTTACAAGTTGTTGTCCTGGAATTGGTGGTCGATATAATTGAGATACTTGACCATGATGATGATTGTAAGTAACGTTTTGTGATTTATTATTATCAACTAGGTTAATCGTATATGGTCTGATTTGAGAACTTATATTTGGATTATCGATTGATATTTGACTGCTCGGTGTTATTTTATTCTGTTGATTAATTAATTGTTGTTTTTGTTGCATCGATACTATAGCGTTCTGAGTATTTCTTGTTTGATTAATATTTGCATCTTGAGGCGAAGTCATTCCATAAGAACTTGTCATTTTTGCAGGTATAGGTTGAGTAAAATAATTGTAATAAGCACCTTGATTAACATTAGGCTGATATTGTTCTTGCTGTTGTCCAGACATCATTTGAAATTGTTGATTCATTGCACGTTGCTGCATTTGTTGTTGATTTGTTAAATTGTTTTGAAATTGTTGATAAATTTGCTGAGGATTTTCACGCGTTACGATTGGATTGGAATTAGTTTGAGATGAATTAAAATTATGCGAAGGTGGTACAGATACCGAATGATCGTTTGAATACATTGCTGGATGAGATCGTGTTTGTAAGTGTTGTTGTTGTTGTTGTTGTTGTTGTCTCTCTTGCATCACGGCTTGCCTATGCAACATTAAGTTTCGTCCACCAACAGGTTGTTTTTCTAAATCGACAACTCTAGGTAGTTCATCTTTCACCCAATTATTTTCTTTTTGCACATTTGTCATTTCGTTAGAATTTCTAAGAGATTGCTGTGGATTTATTAGCGTAATTGGTGTAGACGATTGAGCTACAGGTGTTTGACCATTGTGAACATAAGCCAATGTGGTAGATGCAGTCATAGGATTTACGTACGATTGATGTCCATGTGGTACATTTGGTCGATGTCTATCTGGACCGTGTACTCGATAAGTCACCGCACCGTCTGATTGTGGAATTGATTGATGCATCGTGCAAATTTGTTGTTGGCACGTATTTTCCGCGGTCTAAAGGATTAATCAAAACGAATTCGTTTATTGCCTTGTTTAATCATATTTAACAAAACAAAAAATATATATTTTGTGCTCACCTGTGACTGAGGTTGATGCCCATTATGCATCCCATGAACGTGATCACCATGCTCGTGATTAGGAATCGAAGAAGTTGGAACGAATAATGCATTCGAATGTTCAGAATTTTGATTAGCCATAACCCTAATCGGTTTATTATCAAACAACGTTGTATTGTCAAATTTTCGAATTCTTTCAGCTGGAAAACTTTTTAATCGCGGTGACGAACTCGAACGTAATTCTTTCGATTTGTCCTGAGAATTGAATGCCGTTTTTGGGGGTGCCGTAACATTGTCACCAGTTGCTAATACTGTTTTCGATAATTTTGTCTACAATAAAGAAAAATATAAATCTAAATACAGATCTTTGCAATTGATAGATTTCTTCTTGAGTTATAAATGTGTACCATTGTGCCTTGATTTAAATTTGCCTCGGGCAAAGGTGATTTTCCTGATCGAGAACGTCTCCTTTGAGAAATGGCAGTGACTCGTGTTTGAATACTGGGTATGCTCGGTCGTCGAGTAGCGTCTTTGGCAGCAGTATTCCTTTCCACGGAAACTTTCCTAGAAATTAATCATAAAATAGGGGTTATGTAAAGACGTTTATGTAATGCTTCCAAAGAAAAATTGTTGAAGCCAAAAGATTTTCTTGAGAGAAATGAATAAAGAGAAAATATTTCTTACCTTTTGCTCATGATATAAATTTTTTTTCTTTTCCTACCTTGTCAATTTGGTATTATTAATAATTCTCGTTAAATCATAGTATTTAAATAGGAATTAGTTTGAATATTTAAGTCAGTATAGATTTAGTATTACTACCGCGAAAGGCATTGTAACAAATGAAGTTAAGCTACAAGATGACAGACAGCATGAATTAGGTTGTCATGGACACCTGTTTTAGAACAATCGCATAGATTGCTTAAAAAAAATAAGTGATAAACAAAATTGCGGATTTTGGTCACGGTGATTCGTCGAATAGAAACCTCGTAAGTTTAAAATCAATGCAAATTAAGTAAAGTACTTTTGAGTTAATGGTTTTGCTAAATTTAATCTAAATTTATTTACATGTTCAAGTATTATTCACTTTCTCTTGGTCCTTTAAAACATTGTTTTTCTTTTTAAATAATCAGACGAAATATTTAGATTCATCAAATAGTTTGTTAAAAATGTCTCCTCTGTATATATATATAATGAGTATATTTAAAGTGTGTGCTATGTATGTACAGATATTATGAATAATTTTAGTTTTCAAGTACAAGTAAATGTTCAAAAAATAATAATCAATAATCTAATAATACAATAAAGTGACTGATATCAAGTATTTAAGAAGTTTCATTTCAGTCGCTTATAGATTCCACGCGTTTTTATTTTTTGTTATTCTAAATATTACAATAACTTATTAATATTATGTCGGAATAAAAGATAAATTTTTATTTTTTCTACACGTTCCATATATGTATATATATAATTTTCGTTTTTTTTTAGATGATAATTATTCGAGAAATGTTACACTTATGGAATATTTTTAATTTCAATGCACAAACGTAATAATAATAACAATATTTCAAATGAATTATTTTGTAAAATAATTAGGAACTATTTTTTACAGTACTTCGTAATTTGTTCTTGAATCTTGCATCTCCAATTTATTTGTCATTAATTAATGTTACTCATCTTCTAGACGTATAATTAGGATATTAATTCACACATATTGGAAGATGTAATTCAAGAATATTATTCCGTCATTTTTAATAAATTTGTCATTATCATTATTATTATTCGTTCTTTATTGTGATCGATAAGTACTTGTGGTTGTCAAACTTTGATAAATCTTTTAGGTCATATAAAATAATTAATATAATTGCAATCAATTTTTCAACTTCGTTCGTTCAATTAAAATGACAAAATTGTTTGCCCTAAATCGGTTCGAATTTTTATTAAGGTGGACAAGGAACTGCAAAAAATAATATTAAATTATAATTTCATAATATTAGAGCATTGATCTATAATATTTAAATTTAAAACGTGATACTAACAAATAAGCGGTCTACAAGGTGAACAAACTGGGGGTGTAGGAGGTGGACAAGGCATACAAGGTACGTATTTTGGTGTGCAAACATAAGCGCAAGTTGGAGGTGATGGAGGACATGGTGAGCAAGGGGGAGGACATGGTAAGCAAGGAAGAGGACATGGTGAGCAAGGGGTAGGGCATGGCGAGCAAGGGGGAGGACATGTTATCACCACTTTTGGAGGACAAGGCATTGGACAACAAGGTGGACAGGGTGGACAAGGTCGTAAATACACCTGATATTTCATAATTTTATTCGATTAATTCAATATCTAATTTGTACAACCAATAGATTGTTGAACTAAATTTTTGTCAACAAGATATACTTGATTTATTACTTGTATGTAAATTATAAGTATATTCTTGATCTAAATTTTGTTTAACAAATTACCAATACAGCTAATCTATATTTTATTAAACTTCTATTTGATTTATCAAATTTTTAGTACGTTTTTATAAACCACATTAAATTACCATGACATCGTTAAGCTAAATTTTGTTCAACAAATTCTATTATTTGATTTTATGTTTCCATTTGTATTAGGAATAATTTTAAATATTTTACGATTAATGAATTTCTTATTGTTAAGATATGAAACTTTATTTCCTCATCTAGTTCAGTTCAGATGGATTTTAATTAAGAGCATCGAATCGTGATACGAACTACTGTCTTGGTTGGTCTCGGTGGGCAACGAGGCGGACAAGGTGGCCTACATTGTATTATAGGCGTACAAGGTACGCAAGGTAGGCAAGGATAACAAGCTGGTGGACAAGATGGTATGCAAGAAGGTACTGAGCAAGGTATTGGACAGCATCTTGGTGGGCTACAAATTGCAGGGCTGCATGGACTAGGAGAACACATATTTAAATTTCTTTCATTTCTATCGAATCCTAATCAACCTTTTGGTAGTTTCATCGGACGAATTGAAGTCTTCTTAAACTATGGTAAAATCAAATGAAATTATATATTTTTTTTATGTAAAATGTTATCGGATCAAATTGATAAGAATTTTATCTCACAGATAGTACTATTACGTTTTATTGATCGTGGTCTCATGAATTTTTTGATAAATGTGAATTTGAAATGATTGAAATCTAGTATTTGTATATTTCTTTTTACCTGTTAATTTTATTTTTGGTATAAATTATAACTAAGTCATCAATTTCACAGGTCCGTTCATCTGATGCAGACGACAGTATACGTTATTCGAGAAAATCGAAGATTACTTGAAATTTTGTAGTAGGTGAGTTGGGAAATAGGAAAACTTTGAGATTTATGTTTATTTTGCTGTTTCCATGACTACGATAAGTCACTTGTTATTTGCTTAAGAACAATGACGATATCGATAACTCGATATCGTTGCATGTTCGAAGGGAAATGTAAATGGAAGTAATCTAAATATATATGAATGTTATTGAAATTGTTAACTTTATTTAAATATACGAATAGATGAAAAAATAGATAGAAAATGTATGCATTTCGCGTGATGTTATATTATCAATGAGTAAGAAAATTTATCGATGGAAATTTCATTTATAAACTTAGACTAATTATCAAAGATGCAATATCCTGGTCCGTTAGGTGGTTGAGTTGGTACACCTCGGACATTCATACGACAAGCGTGTTCTTCTAGGCGTCTCGCAGCATCATTTACACTATCCGCTTGCTCGGTCCATAAACGTTCAGCTGCGGCACATGCACGTGGCCAAATTCTTGTATGAATGTTGGTCCTGGAGAAAAAAGAAAAGAAAAACACAATAACGTATAAATTCGTAATTAGCTGAAATTAATAAAAATATCTGAACATTGGATTACATTAAAAATCAATTACATATTTTCGACTAAAAATATTCGCACAGAAATATTTATAACATATTTTTTTTATACATAGGAATCGAATAATTATAGAAATATTTGTTAGCTGATTTACCGCGTGGTGGTATTATGAACTCATATATTTTTTTTTTTAGCAACTCTGTTACTGGAGATTAGCATTAAATCGTCCCGAAATTTTCTTTATATTTCTTTTAAATAAAAATATAAAATATATCCTAGTTGATAAAGCAGTTTTCTGTTTTATTTTTTTTCTTGTCTTTAGGGGAACACTCTTTACAAATAAAAAAAGGAATAAAAAAATATTATAATTACCTATCAACAAATTCGCCCCACATGCAAGCTTCTCCTCCCAACATGAAATCTCTCACGTTAACTTCGGGCGGTGCCGGAAATCCGAGGGGATCGCACGCGTAATACTTTTTCCAATCGCCACCATTGCTTAAGTGATCGAGGTACCAACAAGCGGATAACAAAACCGGATGTCCGGCTTTTACTGCTCTTTCTAGTTCGTTTTGCCAACGTCCGGTCCACACGTGTACTACAGTGCTATTAGGCAGATTTACGCCATTGTCGAAAACCTGTAATAACAAACATCTTCTCAGATGTATTCCGAAAAAGGAAAGTTTTCATAGGAATAGATTAAATATAAAAAAAATAAACTAACCTCTTGCCATACGATAGATTTGGCTTCCAACCTTTTGGTGATTTCCAAAATTCTGGAAATGTAGTCCCCTTCGAGTAATGCGAAATTTTTTGACATATTGTTTGCTTGCATGTATGTTTTGATTTCGGGATTGCTAGCCCAACAATCAAACGGTACTTCGTCACCTCCGAGATGAACGTACTGATCTGGAAAGACTCGAACGATCTCGGAAAAAAGTTTTCTCATGAACTCATAAACCTCTAATTTTATTGGATTTATCGGACCAAGTTTACCATTTGGATTACCATCAGAACCTAAAATAAAATTATTATATATTCAAAGATTTGTTCGTAAACACTAATATTATTTTAACTAACCATAACATTGGGTGAGAAATTCGGGATAAGCTAAACCCCAAGATGCTACGTGTCCAGGTGTATCAAATTCTGGTATAACACGAATACCACGTAATCTCGCATATTCAACGATATATTGAATATCATTGGGTGTATAAATCATGGAAAAGTGATAGGCACCCTTTGCTGCTAAATCTGGGTACATAGAGCTTAGATAAGGGAAACTATTGTCGTCTACTATGTGCCAGTGAAGAACGTTTAGTTTATTGTAAGACATGGCATCTAGGGTTGTACAGATGTCGTCTACTGGTAGAAAATGACGAGAAGTATCCAATAGTAGACCTCGGTGTCGTAATTTTGGACTATCCACGATTGTCTGACAATTTACTTTTAACTAAAACATGTGTCAAATTATTTTATTCCATTAATTTAATTTTATCATTTTTTTAATATTTATACGTAATACACAGTTTCTTTTTTTATAGTTGGATCGTAGAATTTGAAATAAATTGATAGACGATTTGAATATTTCATTCTAAATCATTAATAATGTTTTTATTTATTGTTTTAGTATTTTTTAAACCTTTTTATGGTCAGTATATTTCATACTAATATTTTATTTGAAATATTGACTCAATAAATAGCAGTTCATTAATCAATAATACCATACTAATATAAGATTTTTTGTTGAAATATTGATCCATTCAAAAATAACCCGATATGTTAAGTCAAAAAAAAAAATGAACTTACGACAGGACCATCTCCAGATGGAACGACTATTTGTGAGAAAGTTTCTAGGCCTCTAATTATTCCCCAAACGGAATCAGCTGATAAAATGGCTCTTTGTGGTCTTGTATTTATTTCGAGAGTGTCTGTAAAAGTCAAAGTTGGTTCCTCTTATTGACGATTGATTGGAAAAGAAAGAAAAGACAAGATGAAAAAAAAGAAGAAAAAGGATACGTGTGTAATCTTTTTATCTCTCGTTTCTAATCGCAATGACCTCGGAAAATTTCACGAGGAAGAAGAAGAAGAAGAAGACTAAGAATAAGAGATAAGAAACGTAATAAGACTGATCAATTTCATCTTATTGCTCGTCCCCGTTTCAATCTATTTATCTGTTTCATTCGCTCGATTACCAACTCGTTCATTATCGCGAATTAGAAAAGTTGTGACGTGCTTACAAACGTTGATTATATAGGAATAAAACTAAACATTATACTTCTTTCTTATTCAATACTTAATACAGTAGAAAATAAACATTGCGAGAATGAATTAATCTTTTGTAATTAATTATGTAACTTTAAAGTCACACATTCAAATATTTTCCAGTATTTTTTTTATAATTTTATTTATTTTATTTCACTCTAAAAATTATTTGTTAATTTATAAAAATGTAATAATTTTTCTTTTTGGTATAGCAAGTTATATCAATTTTTATTTTAAATTCTTCTAATAGAAGTTACGTGATTTTAAATGTGAAAAATTTAGTAGTTTTTATTTAATTTCAAAAGAAACTTCTTCTTTTTTTAAATAGGTACCTAACAAATTTTACAATGTTAAAATATTTTATATAAAAAAAGAATGAATAAATTTGAATGAAATAATTTGTTTATATCGAACTCATAGAAAATATTAAATCGTTAAGGATTAAAAATAATTTTAAGGATTTATTCGAACAAATATTTAATCATTAGCAATAATTAGGAAAGAATTAATCTCTTGCCACATATTTTATGTTTTGTTGATTTTCAATAATTATTATAAAAATGATTAGTCTCTTATATCACTCATTCAATACTATAAGTTCTTTCATTTGAAATAAATAAATATTAGCATCTTTATCATTACAATGTTTTTCTCTTATTTGATTTTCATAATTGATATGTTCGAACATTTGGAATCCCCGAGTTCGTAGAATATACTTGTAAAAGAAAAAAAAAGTAATAAATTATCATTAAATAAATATTGCAATAAGTATATTTTGCGCATCGATTATTTGTCATTCATAACGTCAAAGCAGATACTATTCGTGCTTCGTAGAATCTTGACACACGATATTTTAATAATACATTTAAATTAGTACATTCTAATCGCGTTTAAAGAGATTAGAACTTGCAAGAAATACTTTCTATTTAAAGTCGGCACGATAAAAATGTATCTGTCATAATAATCATTCCTATGCTCATTGAATACAAAGAAAGTTAATTCGTTTATGTTTTTAGATATGTGAATTTAACTCACAACTCTCGTTCATGAATAAATGAGGCCAATGTTCTCCGTTGTGTTCGCAAGGGTTCTTTAATTCAATGTCCAAGTTATTTAGTTCTCCTTTGTAGAATTCATGGTCTCTTGCCGTGGATTGTTTAGTCACACTTGTTCTTGCTATTCGTGCTTCAGTTATAATAATAGCCATGTATCTATCGATAGTTTTGTTAATAATATCGCAATTATGTCTGTTCGGCTAAAAGATTATAAACGTGAATAGAAAATAAATTTTACAAATATGTAAGAAAAATACAATGAAAAATATAATTATAAAAAAAGACAAGAAAGCAGTATTTAAATGATATGATAAACGATAGATCTAAATATAATGTATAAATAATAAATAATACATAAATATAAGACTTACTCTAAATTCGAAGGCGGATGGTCGTAAAAGAAAATATTCATCTTGAAGGACTCTCTGATTGGGTTTTGGCCAAATTTCACCTTTCGTTGGTAATACCCATGATCCAGCAAATGAATGCAATTGTATGGATGGTGTTGGTAAGGTAGCTAAGAGTTTTATAAATAATAATGTATTTATCATAGATGAGAACCACATGTTTCTTTGATGGGTGATGATCAAGGAGTAGTGGACTTCAAGTAAAACACTTTATCGGATAAAAACGATCCGTTGGCAACGAGCGATCATCGTCTACTGACGATGATGCTACCGTGCTATGCCAACCGAAGCCCGAGTAGATATAAACGAAGAGATACATAGAAAGAAAGGGAAGGAGAGAGAGAGAGAGAGAGAGAGAGAGAAAGAAATACAGATACAGATACACTGAAAGAAAAAGATAGAAGAAGAGAGTGAATTTGTTCGGTGGTCGCGTGTGCAGGAACCTGAGCAAGGAGAAGAACGGTGAGCAGAGTGCTAACGACCTTAGCCCGGCACTTAACTTTTATCACTTTGGCCCCACGAGTGCTCACGGTCAAGTGAGACTAAACCAGTCCTTTCTCTTTCTCTCTCTTTCTCTCTTTTTCTCTTTCTTTCTATTTTTATTTATTTCTTTTCCTTCTACAGACGCAAAGTCGTGATCCTTAATGTTCCCCTTTGTGAAAATGTGTTCGTTGATCGTGTTCGCGGACGACGACCTGTAATAAGAAGGATAAGAATAAATTCGTGTGAAGAATTTATGTTAGAAAGAGAAATAGGGGAAGAAAGAAGTTTCATTAAGAGATAATGAGTGATAAGAAATTTCTTAAAATAATTTTTTTTTCTATTGAATTTTTTATATCGATCTTTGAGTTTGTGGGAACTAATTTTGGGATGATTTTACTCATTAAAGTTTTATATTGATTTGTTTTTTAAGAAAAATACAGGATAAAACGATTTACCATAAGACGAAGAAAAAGTGAATAAGAATTTCGTATTTTGTATCATTTCGTTAATAAAGAATTTCCTTATTTTTTTATATATCGAATTTTTTCTCATCGAGTTTTAGAAAATTTGAATAGTTATTTTTGGAAAAAAAAATTAATTAACTGCTGCTACTCGAGTTATTCATCGTAGATACCGTTCTAATGTTGAAGCTTGACCTAATTTAATTAATTCTATTTAATTATATGCTAATTTTTTTTTTCTTTTTCTTCATAACGTTGAGAATCGTGCAGGTAGAGCATAAAGTAAGTCGATGGATCTTGAGATAATACGCTTGCTTCGATTTTTTTTTTCTTTCTTTCATTCTTTCTTTTGCAAGTCATACTTTATCTTCAATGTACCTTCAAAATAATCGTTTGTGAAAATAACACCATAATGTATTAATGAGTATAATGGGTCTTGTATATTGTACCAAATCTTATGTAACATCAGAATAATCTCGTTGTGTCATTATATTTTAATATCTACTAGATTACATATAATACATAATAATAATAATAATAATAATAATAATAATAATAATAATAATAATAATAATAATAATAATAATAATAATAATTAGAAGGAAATTGTAATCTTAAATTTCGTGTTATGAAACATTCTAAATGTATTTTAAAATATATATTTTTAATATATATTTGATATATATATATNTATATATATATATATATATATATATATATGTGTGTGTGTGTGTGTGATTTTTTTTAAATTATACTTGTCAAATTCATATTATTAAAAATTTCAAAATTTACTTTTATTTAGTACCTATTTTGAAGCCTAATAATTCCGAAACATTTTTTAAAATTTTTTCTTTCCTCTTTCTTTATTTTTGTATTTTAATGAATGTTTTCTTGATCAAGAAAAAGAAAAATTCCCTCACTCCAAAATAAAAAAAAGTTTACAAGGTGTTTGATAGTGGGATCTGATAAATTCGTACTTTATTTCTATTTTTTAAATTAATTAATTGTAACCTATAAAAACGGTTCATATTGTCAATGCAAGACTGACGGTATATACTTTAAACATAATTTGAAATAATAAAAAAAAAAATCGATTTTCTATTGTTATCTTTTCGCATTTTTTAACGAGAGTAAATAATTCGAAATCGATGGTAAAACGATTAATTGCGAAGTTCAATGGGCCCTCGAGATAATGGGGTCATCTTCATCAATTCTCGGATAATATTTGTGTTTACATGTTTAAATGAAAGATAACGCACTGTTTTTAAAACGTTATCAGTCCACTCGAAGAGTGATTTTAATGGATTTACAAAAAAAAAATCTATATACATCTATCGATTTTTCATTTGCTGATAATAAAATCCTATTTTTCTTATAGTGCATACTGATAACATTAATAACAAAAACAATCATAATATTTCAATGAGAGAAAAAGGTTATCAAAATGATGAGATGATCAAAAGGTGATCATAAGGTTATCAAATTTGATGTTAAAATATCGTACAGTCAATATATTATAAAAAATGCAATTAAAATGGTTGAATAAAATTCTGAAAAAAAATGAAAAATAATAATATAAGATATAAAGATAATTAGATTAAATTATTGATATGATAATTAACTAATATCAAGATGCTACTTATTAAAATATATGAATAAAAAAAAATATTTGCTGAATAGAAAATTTTATTTCTGTTAAAGTGCATACTAACTACTAGCAATAATAATAATTATAATAATGTACCCGTAAGGGGGCGGGTAAGAATACCCCCTCAGTAATCCCTGCTTGTCATAAGAGGCAACTAAAAGGGAAACCACTAACGAGGATAAACCCTCTTTAGGTGTGTAAAACGGGTATAACAAAAATTCAAAGAAATCTTGTGGATAGTAATCATAATTTTTTAGCTACAGATTATCAAACTGAATAATTTCTTGTTAAAAAATTAGAAGGGCTYTAAATTATAAAAAAAAATCTTATGTTATATTCATAAGAAATATAATATCAGGGACGTGTCTAGAAAAAAAAAACAGAAAAAAAAGTATAACAAGTATCATCGTAAAGATGGTTAAATGAAATGTTGTGATATATGAAACTAACAATCTGGATGTAACTCAATGAAAAATATCAGTAGAGAAAAAAAGTTACTAGAAAAAAGATAAAAAATGAGGGGAAGGTAGAAAATTACAGAGCGAACAAACTCAGTTGACAATTAAATGAGATCGGTGAATAGAGAATACAACAAGCTACGTGGTCGAGACGGCGTGTTATCCAAAGGAGACGCCTCCGATCGTAAAATACGAGTTTGCGCGTTTGCCTCCTCTTATAAGAGCACCGCGAGGTGAATTACACGTGCTGAAACGAATGCGACGCGCTTGAATATCGTATTAACCTGTATACGAGTACATGTAGAGTCGTGTAATAGTATGGGTTGATTGTAGAGAAAGAGAAAGAACGTGAAAGAGAGAAAGAAAGAGGATAAGAGGTATAACGATAGACGAACCCAGATTTATGTTAATGGATCGTTGCAAGATGAACGACCCCGAGGACGTTGATTGGACTATGTTATAAATTTTTATTGAAAATGATTTAATTTTTTTTTAGTAAGATCCTATATATTATTAAATGAAAGAAAAATGAATATTACAAACAAATTTTGTTGTTACAATTTTTTTTTCGATCTCGTTATTAATAATTCCACATGGTAATTTTTGTTTGTATTTTTAATTGATTTATTTTTTTTTCAGATGAAAAAAATGAAAATTTTTTCTAAGGATTACAAAATTGTTTTTCGATCGACAATCGTAATCCGTTGATAAGAGAAATATTCATCCTTTTGTCGTATAATCAAACACGTGCGTGTTACGACACTAGTTCACGTGCCGGAAATTGTATAATAAGTGTAGATATATATTGTCTAGGACACTGCATGATTCACGTAACGTTCATTCTTAGATTTCACAATTAGAGAGGATGATAATTGATAAGAATCGTGTTGAGTATAATTATAAAGGAATTGTTTTTTTTTTTCATTTTTTTTTTTTTTTAGGTTATTCATTTTATTCTGTTCTTAAATGTTACAATAAGAGATTATTACTTTTTATATATTGTCACGTAAATATAAATTTTTTTATTTTGCTTATTGGAGAGGAAATATTTTTTTTTACATCTATACGTGGGCTCTTTTTTTCTTTTTGTTTTTCTCTTCTCTCTCTCTCTCTCTCTCTTTCTCTTTCTCTCTTGGGCGAGACTGCAAAAATAAACGAGAAAGAGTACGGTCGACGATCGTACGGCACTGCTCGGTGAATCGTAGCTTCATTGATTGCGACGACGTACGCTGGGTGGATGGTCGTCAGGGGCGAAGGGAGGGTAGATTCGAACTAGAACGTGCATTCAGTGCTGGCTCGTACTTTTCAAAAACCCCGACTGTCTGTTGACTTAAAGGAGATATTTTCTTAACATGAAAATTTTAATCCAACGATAAACGTTTTTCATTCTCATCTCGAACGAACAATAACCAAAAAAAAAAGAAACAAATTAATCTTCAATGTGAATAAAAAAAGGGTCTTCAAATTACTACCAACAAACCTTAGCTTTTTAATTGACCTAATAACCAAACTATTAACGAATATATGTATACAATTCCATATTTAATAGGTCATCCATATTGGAGAATAAACATTTCAAACATATACCGCCAAAAATAAAAATACCTCTTCAAGGGTTGAAATGAGATCTCTTTAAATTATTCGAAACTAATTTCGATTTATTCGACCTATTATTCAAAAATTCTTTGAAAAAATGGAGAAAAAAGTAACAGATATAATATTGGATTTGTGAAGAAATTAAAGGAAAAATATGTTAAAATTTACCGCCCACGTTAAAGATCGTTTCTCGGCATTTAATCCCAAAGCGCTTGCGGGGGCGTTTGCGCACCGGGAAGAGCTCCACGCGCAAGACATTGAAGGTGGGGCGCGAGTCGATGAGAGAGAATCTGGATGGAAAAGGTAAAGTAGGGGTGAACGGGGTAGGTTGGGTATGTAGGCTGAGGGGTGAAGGGGCTGTTGAAGAAGAACAGAAGAGATGGAGTAAAAGAGATGGGAGGTTGATGGGTGGTCGAGGGTTGGGAGGGTTGGGGGCAGGTTGAGATGGTTGGGTGGTTGAGGGAGGAGGGTGTAAGGGCTTAGAGAATAGAGAATCGAGCGGGCAATACGCGTCGACGTCGTCGTCGTCGTCGTCGTCGATGACGTTGGTGACGTGGATGGTGGCGCTAGCGTCGTAGAAAATGATGGTGTAGTTTAATGGTAGTAGTAGTAGTAGAGTAGTAGTAATAGTAGTAGTAGTAGTAGTAGTAAAATCTAATGGTGGTGGATGGTGATGCTCGTAGTAGCAGGGAGGATCATGTGTAGTAGCAAGTTTTAAGGGCGGGAATGTTAGATAGTGTGGTGGTGGTGGTGGTAGTGGTGGTGCTGATGGTGGTGAGGATTTGCAAGTGGTGGGGGTAGGGTGGTCTTTGGCTGGCGTCGTTCTTGGCCGGTGTGGCTGGTTCGGCATTAGAGCAGAGTGTCAGTGCGCGCGGATCCGTCGTGGGTCGTGAATCTCTTCTCTCTTCGGCATCTCTCTCTCCGTGACGCACGAGAGAAGACGCGCGCCGGCGAGAGGGAGAGAGAGAGAGAGAGAGAGAGAGAGAGAGAGAGAGAGAGAAAGAGAAAGAGATAGGAACGTGAGAGTGAGAGAGTTAGCGCGCGCGCGCGCGCACTGAAAGAGAGAAAAAGAGGGATAAAGTGTCAAGAGAGGGGAAATACAAGAGAGAGAAAGAGAAAGAGAGAGGAAGAAGAGAGAGAAAGAGAGAGACGTGTTAACGTTCTGTGCTCGGGCGTGTGTATGCGTGTGGGTTTGTTTGTTTGTTTGCGTGTGTTTAGTCGAAGGAGTGTGCGCGCGCGCGGTGCCGCTGGTGGTGCTACCGGTAAAAATTGGTACCGCTAGTTCTCGTGAAGAAGAAGAAATAAAACAGGAAGTAGAGGAAGAAGTAGTAGAAGAAGAGGAAGTCGGTGGTGGTGGTGATGGTGGTCCTGGTAGTTGGTGATGGTTATGATGGTACAGGACGATCGTGAGTCGGTGGTGCTGGTTGTGTGATGATGATGGTACCGGTTCAATTGATAGCTTCTTCATCTCCTAGCTTTGAATAATATCAAAGAGAGAGAGAGAGAGAAAGAGAGAGAGGGAGAGAGAGAGAGAGAGAAAGAATCGTTTCGGGTACCTCGAACCGGAAGACGACGACGACGGGAACCGGAAGAGTCGCGAGAGGATGAGATCGATAAGGAGGAGGGAGCTTACGTCCGAGTTACGTGAAACGCTCGCATAGAAGAGCGTACGTAGGTTTGATAATATACAGTAACGTGTGTTCTCTCCCTCATCAATCGCGTTCGAGTATCGTCAACCTCATCTCGTTCGAGGTGCACGTAGCGAGGACGAGGAAGAGAGAAAGAGAGAGAGAGAGTTCAAGAAGAGCTGAAAGAGGGTAAAAAGGGTGGTAAAGGAGAAGTAGTAGGAAGAGGAAGAGGAGTAACAGGAACAGGACGAAAAAGAGAAAAAGGAAAAAAAGTAAAATAAAAATTGAACATCGAAGGAAAAAAGGAATAGTAGAAAATATTAATAGTAACATCCTTTTTTTYTCTCTCTCTCTCCTCTTCGATCTCGGGCTTCGCTCGATGAGGTTCGTCGCCGAAAGAAGGTCAAAGATCGATCGCCGACGAAGAAGGGTCGTGACCTCACGCGTACATACTGACCCACGCGCGTAGTACGTTACGAGCCGGAGGAGGTGGAGGTGAAGGTGGAGGTGGAGGTGTAGGTGTAGATGTAGGTGTAGTAGGTGTGGGTGTGTTTATGTGTTAGTTATTAAAAAAAGAGAAACGCGCCGGGATGAGAGAATGGACCAGTATACGTTGTTATTATTATTCTTATTCTTATTAGTATTATTCAAATGGTGAGCCTTAGAAACCTAGAACAGGAAAAAATTAAGAGGAAGATAGAGAAGGGTATTCGTTAAACTGCTACGATTTTTACATCGATGATCCTAGTTCGTGGATTTATACCTTCGCGTAGAGTAGACTTCACCTTCGAACGGACGAAAGATCCCGGGATCGGACGAGTAAGGAAGGAAGTGAAAGAGGATAGAAGAAGATCATCAGTTTTTCGGGGTGTTAGGAGCACACGTGCTCGGCGACGGTGTAGAACTTCGTGAGAAAGAGTGAGAATGGGGTGGAGGGAGGCTCGTTAGCAATTCTACGACTAGCTGTGGAGCGATGAAGAGAAAACAGAGCTGAGAAAGAGAGAGAGGACAAGAGGAAGTGGAAGAGGAAGAGGAAGACGAAGGAGAAGAAGAAGAAGAAGAAAAAGAAGACGGCGGAGAAGAGAGGCTGCTGGCTGCTTGTGCTTTGCGAACAAGCCAGACGGATCGTTATTTATGAGGATGCGTGCAAAAGTGTAAGGGCGCGACGGTGTGACTGAAAGTGCTTGATCTGACGGGTGGTTAAAAGGGGGAGGTGGGTAACAAGGAGAAAGAGAGATAGAAGAAGAAGAAGAAGAAGAACAATAGGAAGAAAAAGAAGAAGTGGGGATCGCAGAGAGTCGGTCAAAGGACTAAACAGACTGTCACGAACTCCTGGTTTGTAGAAAGAGAAGGAGAAGGAGAACTCGAAGAGAGGAGAGGATAGGAGAGGAGAGTAGAGAAGAGAGAAGAGGGAGAGTATTGTGGTGTGGTAGGGGTTTGAGAAAAGAGAAAAGGGGGTGGTCGCGAGATGTCTCGCGATCCTTATTCGAGCGGTAGCGGCGTGGTAGGTCCGGGAGGCGGCACCCGCTCACCACGAAGCGGTCGTCGAGTCGGGGAACTACCGACCGTCGACCGTAGCCCCTCGAGAAGTTACGCGAGCGGTCGCGGAAGTCCTTTAGGACGAAAGAGGGGCACGCGTAGCGGGAACAATTCGCCGGAGCACCTCGGATACGGCAGCTACCATCACCATCAGCTGGTAAGCCCGTACTACTCTCGCGACGAGGACCTCGCCAGTCCCGTCATGCTCGAGGAGAGGGGCAGGAGTATGTCGACAGGGGGCGGGGGTAGCAGCGGACATCATAGATCCAGAAGCGCCTCGAGACCCGCCATGTCCAGCTCGGCGGGCATGTCGACGGGGTATACCAGCCTCGATCGTGCTTCGGCAGGTATTCTCGGTCATGATCGAGAGTTCGTACCGATTCGAGAACCGCGTGAACGTAGCCGTGATCGGAGTCTTTATCTTGAGGATGAAATATATGGATCAAGATCGGCCAGGCAAAGTCCTAATCCCCACATGCTGCGTGACAGCGGTGGTTACATCGGTGAGCTACAACATCAGAACAATGATCTACAAAGGGAACTGGGTAATCTCAAGAAAGAACTCGAGCTGACGAATCAGAAACTCGGTAGCTCGATGCACAGTATCAAGACTTTTTGGAGTCCGGAACTGAAGAAGGAACGAGCCCTTAGGAAGGAAGAAAGCACCAAGTTTAGCCTCCTTAACGAGCAGCTCAAGCTACTCAGCACGGAGAATCAGGTCAGTTGGACGTTGAATGCTGCTGCTCTGCTATTGCTGCTGTTGCTGTTGCTGCTGCTGTTTTGCTCTGCTGCTTCTGCTGATAATGTTATCATTGCTGCTACTGTTATTCCTGTTGTTGTTACAGCTATCTTTCATTTCCCGATGCTATTTATCGTTCTTACATTAGTGCTGGCCTTCATTTTTTTTTGACCTTCGGACACAGAGCCTCTTTGAAAGAGAGAGAAAAAACTCTTTCTCAAACGTTACATTTTTTTTCTCTTTTCTGGTTGCATCAAATTATTCTGACCTTCTTTGACAATCAACTTACGATCGATTCCTACTACTCAAGTACTTTTTTTTCTTTATCGGTCGAGAGATAAAACTTAAAGGTTTCTCTTATGAGCCAGGCGCTCATGTTTCGTAATGACTCCATGAATCGTGTGTAGGTGCGCGGACGAGTCGAACGTCTGCGCGAAACAATGGCTCCATTTCGTATGTGCTTTCTATTCGTGTGCTTTTTTTTTTTAAATCGAGCAAACATTTTTACAACGATATTCTGCCTTGTTCCGTTATTTCCACTGGGTATAACACCTCGACCTTTCGTTCAACGTGCTATCCTTTTAGAAAATCATCCGTCAGAATCGACGATGCCTCGTGACGCACGCTTTATTGATTGTCCAAAAAATAGTCCCGCGTGGAAGGGGGAGCCACCTCCAATTATCGTGATTTCCTATGTGCTTTAACATCAATTTTATCAAACAAAAGATACTAGTTTAATAAAACGTACCACCTCCCTCCTATCACCATTCCTTATCATTATCCTTTTCATTCTATTCATAATCAAACAAGTTACGATAACAGCAGAACCACGTCGTCAAATTGGACTCATCATTTTTGTTCTAATCTCGTTTGTGAGTTACATCGTTAGTTCATGTCACACAAGTAGACACATGCACACCTGTTGAATTATTTATATAAAATTAATAACACCTGATACATGGAACAAAATTTGATCGATCAATCGTTTAGTTTTGAATCATCTATCATTTACCTTATAAATTAGATTGTATTCTTAAATGAATGAAATTTCATTCATTTTATCGTTTTGAAGGATAATGAAAAGAATTTTTTTATTGAAATTTTTCTTTTTATATTTAATTATATGATATAATTGAAATATGAAAAAGTATATATATATATATATGTTCAAATATCTAGAGTACCTTAAAGTAATATCGTAGAATTCTATTCCGGTTTAACGGAGTCAATCGGACGTTTTCTCAGCAGGCTCTTACCACTTATGATTCCACCAGAGTTTATGCGTGTGCATGTGTGTATGTGTGTCAGTACAGTTGCTATTATAGGTGGTCCAGAGCTCGATGGTGGACGTGAGTCATTGCTCCTAAGAGCAAGAAGAAGAAGAATCCGTAAGATTGAGATTCTCTGGCTACATGCCCACGTTTATTTCTTCTACATCGACCCCGTCTCTGAACCTTTCTAATTTCCACATATATATAAAAGTACCAACCATGAATCTACTTTATTCATTTACTTATATATGTTCATACATATATATATTTGCTTATGTACTCGCATATGGGCCTCCATTGTTCTTTACTTTTGTAGTTGAACTCTTCGAGACTTGCCTTGAAACTTGATAAGATTTATCCTGTTTTGTAGGTTGAACAATACATCTATTAAACTGATTTATTCAAATAGAAACAGGATGACATGATTAAATAACATTTACTAGAATCCAATTTTCACTAAATCGAAGTTAAATATATACATGAGTGAATCGAAAAGTTTTCAGTCTATCATACAAAATTCACAAACCGATATACAAATTTATTTAGGTTAAATACTTTTTAATCGACCTTTTATATTTATAGCAACTCGATAATAGTATAGGTATTTGTGATAATTAATTATAAATTATTAGATTAACCAATAGATTCGTGCAATATTTGCTATACCTATTATTATACTGAATAATGTAAAAAAATTACTGAAATATGAAATTACGGTATTAAAAAAAACAAAAAAAGAAATGGGCTACAATTTTTTTTTTGCTTAAATTACTTTCGTATTTAAATATATTCTTATACTATACGATTAGTATACATATAGAAATTATTGGCATAATTATATTATGCAAAAATGAAAAAAAATTCAGAAGAAGCTTTTTATGCGAATTAGATGACTATCACGATTTTATGCAGCATTCGATAAAACACTACCCCTTTTTAGCCGAAGTAAAGGTAAATGCAAAGAAACGAATTATTCAAAGGGCATCTTTCTCTTTCTCTTYCTTCCTTCTTTCCCTCTCTCTTTCTCTCTCTCTTTCTCTATCGACATTCAAAGTGTAAGCGGTATCTTCGATCGATCGGTAGTCGACGATGGAAGCTTCTTGCAAGCTTCTTTCCTTTTTCCTCTCCCTCTTTCTCCTCACATCCTGCTTTCTCTTCCATTAACATCGATGAACTTTGGTGCTTCGGTTTTTGCAAAAAAATACATTAGAGCTATAATAGGAACTAAGGTATTTCGAGTATCGTTAGAAAAATAAAAGGAATGTGTTCATTAAAGAAGAAATAATAATAAGAAGAAGAAGAAATAAACAAAAAATGTAAAAAAAGAGGAGAGGAAGAAAATAAATGAGTAGAAATGGTTGGAAAAAAAAAAAATTAATCTTCCATCTTCTGTCGGTTCCGCGTATGCAATGAAAATTCGTGCTATGCAAAGCCTTGGAATTGGCATAAGCTGGAAGTGGGTCGTAAAAAAAAAAATTCCCTTTTGCAATAGGAGATAGATATGATTTCTCACCCTCTTTTACTTTCAAACTGCAACGCTTCTCGAGTAGAATGATACGAAAAAAGGCTCTCGTAAAGAAGTCTCGACACTGGTAGTAAACTTTTTGATAATCCTTTAGTTTTAATCCTCTTTCTGAAGCTTCGTATATCGTTCAGAAAAGTTTCATTCTCGTCATTCACATACCTACAATATATATATATATATATATATATATATATATATATATATATATATATATTTATTTATGTGTTATATAAGTATACGTGTGCTTATCTATGCATAGTATTTTTTATAATAACTTTGATAATAATTTTTGAAATAAAAAATTTTTTTACTTAAACAATGAGATAACAAAAATTGGACGAAAAATAAAAAATTATTCAATCATAAATAGAAATAGAAAAATATAGGAGTGTGAATTGATAAGTTTTGGTGTCTAGCATAGAAACAATTTTTTTTCTGTCAAAATGTTTTTATTTAAAAGAATAAAAGACATTTTTTTATACGAGTATATTTATTCATTTATTATTTTATCAAAATTTTCAAAACGAGATTAGAAGATTTTGATAAAATTAATAAATTTTGTACGCGTATTTTTACTTACGAATATACTATACGTATAACACATAAATTTCTGTTTCCATTAGATAATATTTATGAATAAACGTCTAATGGAAGGTTTTTTATGAAGAAAAACGTTTTATGGGTCAGAGCATTGGAAATTAGAGCTTCCTATGTAAATGTACAAGTTCTCTCTTATCTAAAGTAATTGCATGTCCCAAGCATCCTCTCTTTCTCCTTCTTTTTCACCAATTTTACCTGCTTACATGATTTATCAATTCGTAACAAACTTAGCTTACAATTAGAAGAGATAGGAAATGTAATTAAAATTACTTATTAAATTTCCATTACACTTACACATTTCTTTTTTTTAATCTTTTATCATATAATAATCTTATTGCTTATTCTAACTAAGTAAATTTATTTTTAATGTTGACTAATGACTTTTCACCTTTTTTGATTTATATTAAAGTATTGAAATATTAAAGTTTTAATTGAATTTATTTTAACATCTAATTTTATATTCTGTTTTTTTTTTAATTATTTTAAATATAAGAGGAATAAAATAAATATAATTCACGCGCGAAGAGTCAACACCTGGTTCCGTTGAATATTTTATTGATTTAAACTTCTAAGCGTTAGAAAAGTTAGTAGCCATCTGTTGTTTGCTATATTCTTTGAGGTTCACCGACGGATTACTTTCTCAGGGTCCATTCGTTATATAAAAGAGTATGGTCCATATGCAACGGAACAGAACCAGCAAGAGATTCAAGCAGCTTGCATCCGCATCGTGTGAAACGAAGACGGTCGTTGATTCGTCTAACAGCTGCATTTTCAGGGCCGTCTGCACCCTTTTTTTCTACATCTCTTAGTCTTTTTTTTTGTTTCGTTGAAAGATTTATTGAAAATTTACGCGACAAGCCGAGTCTTGTTCATTTTTTATCGAACTGTGTTCGTATCATCGATCCGAGTATTTTTATTGTTATTCGATACTTTAATTTAGGAAATTGGGTTGAGATTTTAATTATGTATTAACAAGAAATTCATTCTCAATTGATTTTAATTTTGTTCTTCAATTTCTATTTCATTGAATATTCAATTTATTAATTAATTTAAAGGATTAGCTTTATTAGTTTATAGAGAAATAAGAATCTTTCATTTTTTGAGTTTTATATTTATAGATTTAATTATTTTAATAGATTTTTGTAATAGATAGAAATTATAATTAGATATACTTTAACATATTATTACTATAATATATTATAATAATCACGAGTATAATCGTGTTGACACATGCCAGTAATTGATACAATTATACGTATAGTGCAAATTGTTATAATTTTCTTTCATTTTCAATATTTTAATAAATATTAATTAAAATTATTTCATAAATTTTAATAACCACTTTCAATCTAATTAATTTAGCCATTGTAAAACAAATTAATTTATTGCATAAAAGAACTGATCAATAATTCGTTTTATATACAATATTAATAATTATCACTAATTGCAATATTAATATCAATTAAATTTATTTTACCAAAAATGACTAACATATAAAATATTTTATCTTCATATATTAAATATGCCTTTATAAATCTAATTTATGATGGAAGTATTCAGCATATGAATAATGCGGCCCTGTA